TTATATAATCTCTCCTAGAAAGCTTGTTGTTATTCATGCACCAGTGACTTTCCAACCCCCACGAGTGACGATGAACTAAGTGAGCATGCCTTCTTTTCCTTATTTCACTGACAGAGAAACTGAGGCTTAGAGCTATACAATAAGCACACAGGAAGCCAGGTAGGCTGATCAGGTTAGCACTTTGTTTTGCCAGTATCTCAGCACTTGCTTCTTCTCAGAGAACAGGAAATGAGATCAAAACAAAGGCTTACAGTGAAAAGCTTTTTAACCCCAACTTCCTTATTGTACCCAAACACTGAAGAAGAGCCACCCGTAGTAGGAAAGACCGAAATTTTTACCAAGTTGTCAAAATCCTCAAGATACATACTATTCCTTTTCTGGATGACTAAAGTGCTTTGTCTGAACCAAGGAAACACTCTGGCCCTTAAAAGAGAAAAATCTTTACCTAGTCATTTACAGCTTTGCAGACTCCCACGCTCGAAAAAGCTGACATTCAGCCTATTGGTATGAATTATTCTGCCACCTTCAGGCTGAACTTGTTAAAGTAGGAGAGAGAAAAAAACTAAAGAGAACTTTTTCTTGTACTAACTAAATGACAAATCAAATACAGTAGTATACACGTTGATGCTTATTTACTCAAGTAGTAGACAATTTCCTGTTATAAAATGGATTCTGGAGAAAGCAATCTAGTGCTCAGAAGTTCCTAATAGAAACTGTCTATTCCTACCTCCCCATGAAAAACTGCTGAAGTCTTCCAGAAACTTTATATTTGAAAGAAGAAATACCTGTCTATATGCCATAAGGTCTCAGATCACAGGCTATTCCCTGGGCCATGTCCTTTCCTTTCTTAGTTTATCCTGCACTAAACAAAACTGTCTGGAATTCATTCTTTAAAAGTTTATTTATGGTACATAGAGACTGTTTATGTGAAGCAGGGTATTCGCCTATTTCCCTCTTGGGACAGCGTTTAAAACTACAGGGATATTTCCCTCTCTGGCACTTTCTGAAATACAATTAACAATACTGGATCTTTTTTCCTTTTAACAAATCTGGTTTTTATTTAGGGAGGGGAGGAAAAAAGTAAAGGGTCTGAAGTTTCCCAACAAATTATTTCAAGCCTTTGAGAAGACAGTTTTAGGCTTTTTAAATAGTGTCTTTGTTTGAAATCCCCCCTCACCCCCACCCTCTCGCTCTCCGACCATTAAAATGTGGATTTTCTTCCAACCTAGATTGCTCAATTAAAGCCCTTCTTTTGTAATACCCCAATGCTCTAAATAGGAAAAGGACTGCTGTAGGCCACCTTGTGAAACCTTTTAAGGGCTCCTGGCCTCTTTTGATCTCAAAAAAAAAAAAAAAAAAAAAAAAAAAAACATACATAAACTACCTGGCATTTTCAATATTACTATGCCACTCTCTCACATGCAAACTTGGGAGAATAATGAAAAAGAGGGGGCTGGGGGAGGGAGGAATGCTGTGCTTTCCTCTCTGTATTTGTGAAAGAGTGAAATGGAACTATTATCTCTCCCTTCTTCCAGCACAGAGTAAAGAATCCAATTGAGATAGCAGATGTGAAACTGCTTTGAGTCCTTCTGAACAGACACAATGTCTGGCAACAATGTACCCTCAGTATAAACCTGAAGAGACTTCCCTCAGATTTCTGACAGCCTCAATTCTGGCCTGGAGTCAGGAGAATTAAGACCATTACTCCTTCAACATTAAAGACATAGTCACTTTTTTTTTTTTTTTTTTTTTAAGTTTGTTATAGGGTGTGTGTGTTTGCTGGAGAGAGAGACAGAGAAAGTGAGAAGTCAATCCCCGGGGGATCACCACACCTCAGTCCCTTCTTTTTCATTCTCCTCTTGGGACTTTGGGTATATATGTACAAGTGCCTGGTGTGTTTTTCAAGCCACTGGGCCAGGAACTCAAAGGACATAGTTAGCCATGTGGGATCCAGCGCCTTGACCTCCATGCCGCTGGCTCCCATGGTTACCTTTTAGTAAGACTCCTGGGATTCTTATTCCCAGACAGGACTGCTTCCTACTGATGTCTTTTCAGGCATTACATCCATCCAAAAGAGCATATCGTCCTTTCTAAGAGCTACTAATAAGGGGATAATACTCTGTTAGGAAACTCTGCATAAATGACATTATTTTATGAGTCCCAGACTCCAGTAGGAGAACTCAAGACAGAAAATGGTGGCTTTGACAAGCTGCGAACTTAACTCTGACGTCCCAATTCCCAGCACCCTGTTTGAGACATTAACTTTCTACACTTTGTATGCTGCCCCCCCCACACACACACAATGGGCTGCTCCATTTAATTTGTTTAACAATAATTTGGAAAATGCCTTGAAAATGTTCCTTCAAGAGCATGCCAGATGCAACACTCAACTTAAATGATTTCCAGTTTATCATATGCAGAGTGCACATATTAGCAGCAACACCACGTAACTGGGGTCAGAGCTATATCAGCTGTCAAAAGTCATACTGCTTTTGTCAGTCTGGGCAAGTTTTCTGCTGGGAGCAATTTGAAAGGAATAGTTAGGTGTCTGTGTTTCTCGGTAAGAAGATTTTTTAAAAACGAGAAGTCCTCAGCTCTCAGGAAATGCTTCACATTGGTTTGCTGGGTGAGGGCCAAGTGTTCTGGGGGAATATATACTTTATCAAACAGATCCATTCCAAAGGGTCACATAAGTCAAGTGGACACTTGTGGATATTAGCAAGACCGTGGTTTTCCCATGGTTTTCCCCTCACTCCCATGCTAATTATAAGTATCTCTAGGGAAACATGAAATTAAGGCAAATTAAGCAGGCAGGGCAATGAGGGGAGGGAGGGGCACAGTGCACTGTTTCTAGGATGGCAGCAGGGCACTGGCCCCGGTCCTGACCAGCACTCTCAGCAGCTCTTCCCCAGTCTGCCACCTCCGTGAAGCAGCTACCCTTGCCCTAGCTTTATCCAATGCAATCTGATGCTGACCAGACTACCATCTCATTACCTATACGACTATTTTAGAAATTGGGAGTTGGCAGGCCATGGGCCGCATGAGGCCCACACATGTGTTTCGTTAGGCCCACAAGGTTTTAAAAAAATAAGAAGCTTGAATTGGTTGCCAATGTTTAAAAACCAGGAGATTCCACATAAAAATCCAGATTTCCGGCTTCTCTTTTAAAATCTGAAGATCTGGCAACACTGGGTTCATAGTCCTCCATGACAACAACCGGCTGGAGTTGAACTGTGGCTGCCCTCCAGAAGAAGTAACCGCTCTCAGTATGCCATGGTCCCCGCTGCACTGTCACTCACTCATTGCTAGCATGGCCCCTGAGGGAATTTGAATGTATGATTCTAGACCTATTACTTATCTGTTAATTTCTCTAGATCATCCTGTTCAGAAAGAGAAACCTTCTTGTAACATCTTAGGGCAGACAGCATGAGGCAAGAGGAAAGGGATCTTATTCTGGTGGAGATCTTTTTTCTTAAAGAATTATTTATTTAATTTTATTTATTTAATATTATTATTATTATTATTATTTAATTTGCTAAAGGGTATATGCACTCACCAGAGAAAAAGAGAGAGAGTGAGAGGGAGGGAAAGTGAGAAAGCAAGTCGCCAGGTCCGGGACTTGAACTGTGGCTGGCCATGTGGGAGTCCGGCACCTTAACTACCATGCCACCCACTGACCCAAGATGGAGATCCTGATAACCACCTTCAAGAACAACAGAGGAAAGAACTTGACCTGACAGCTGCAGACTGCATTGAGGCAGATTCAGATTCAAACTAAGAAGAGATGTTCTAACAACCACCTGGCTGCGCTTCCCCTCTTATCACTTCCTAACAACGCAGGCTTCAGTAACAAAACACTGAACTTCAATTTCCTGTCTACCAAGCAGAACATCATTGAGGACTCACAGGTATTCTCTGATTCCTCATGTTTTAGCACAGTATAGTAAGAAAAAGATACAGACTTTAGAGTCATGCTTGGACTTAAATCTCGGCCTTCTCCTTTACTTAAAATACATTTTATTGCAGAAAGTGAAGATGGTGCTTGGGCTGTATCTACAGAGTAGGTATCAAGATGGTCTGCAGGAGTGTTACGTCCTGATGCAATGGGTATGTGGCTAAGTCCTCCTTGAAGTGATAGACATTCCTGGTGGTAATCATTTAAAAAAGGGTAGGAAGAGAGACAGACAGAACTAAAAGAGTCAACAGGTCATGGACACAAAAGGAAGACGCCATCTTGGTTTTGTTTTTTCTTTTGAGTCTGAGAATACCCTTAAGAAAGAGGCTTTTGGAACCAGCAGATGGCGTAATGGTTACATTGCTGGTCTTCCACCCATGTAGTCAACCACAGTTTGAGTCCCGACCTGGTGGCTTAAAACTGACTCGAAGCATGTTCATGAGTGCCCAAAATTCTGAGAGGAGAATGGAGGAGAAGGGATTGTGGCATGGCCATCGCCCCCTGGGGGGGTGATTTTTTGCCTTCTGTCTCTCTGTCTCTCCAGCAAGCACATGCGCCCCATAGCAAAAATCTCTCTTAAAAAAAAATGGGGGCATTTACCTTACTAAGGAAATCCAAAGAACTAGACAGAGAGCAAGTGTGTTTTACACAATTCTCTGCATTTACTCTCTTTGGTTAGTTACTCCTCTATCATTAGAAAGATCATATTTAAATACCAGATGTGTGTATGTGTGTGTATATAAATTAATATATATACAATATTTCAGATAACCTGAATATATATTATATATTTTATTATATATACACATATATTATTAGGTCATTTTTGCACAGAAAAATACTTCATGACTTTCCTGATGACCCAATATTGTGTGTGTGTGTGTGTGTGTGTGTGTGTGTGTGTGTATCAATATATCTTTTAAAAATGGAAACCTGTAACAGTATCTATGAATGATGATGCTGGAAGGAAGAAGAAAATAGTCAATATGCTCATTCTTTTCTAAGGAAAAGTCATTTTGAATGATTTATCCAGGCTTAAGCTCACCTTAAGATCCAGGGGCAGCTTGTTGGAGGTGAACACACTAAGCTTGATCTGGGGAATGCTGATTTTGAGATTTTCAAAGTAGTATCGAATTGGTGTTCCGCCTTGCTCAGCTGTCTTCTCATGCAGGTTCTCATCATATTTTTCCACCTCTGGCACAAAGGCAGAAAAGAAGAAGAATCTCCTTAGTCTCGTGATTCAAATACTTGCATTTACTTTAAAAAACTGATTAAGAAAAAAACACACATACACACATCTTTCTAATTTAGTTTTTGAAGGTTCAGTAACTTGTATAGTATATTAATTCCATTTTTTTTTTGTAGAAGCAAATATGTTGTGTGTTGTTTATCAAAAAGTAGACAAGCTAACTTTTTTTTTTTTAAAGAGAGATTTTGTAATAGGGTGCATATGTTTGCCAGAGACAGAAAGCAAGAAACCACCCCCCAGGGGGGATGGTCACATGGCAATCCCTTCTCCTCCAAGGATCTCGGGCATGCACACACACACACACATGCCTGGCATGAGTTTTAAGCCACAGGGTCCAGGACTCAAACCAGGGTGACTATGTGGGAGTCTAGTGATATAACCATTAAGCTATCTATTGGTCCCAGTAAGTTAATTTACCTTGCTAGTCTATAACATCTGGCAGATATGATCTTTGAAAAAATAACTCAGGTGGAAAGGCCAAGAGTGCAGGTGTGTTTGCTGGCAATAGGCTTTCTAGAAACTGCAATTGTTATTGTTCTTGCCATTATCACACAACCCAGATAATCTGAATTTATTTCACAACACGGTACCTAAATAAGGATTTGAAATGTATGGTACTGTGGTTGGCAGGGCACCATTTTGTGATGCTGGTGCCACATGGGAAGGCTTGCAGTTCAGATCTGGGGTCGACCTTAACATGCTAGGCATGTAAAAGCCTATGACCCTGGCTGACTAGAGGGAAGTTCCTGGGTGTGGTGGAGCCCTGTCAAGGGTACCGTGTGTGTGGAGGGGGTGTGAGGGTGGGGAGGGGGTGAAAGAAACAAACTTTTTTTAAAAATAAAAAGAAGAATTTGTAGCAAAGTGTATTTGAATTCATAATGAATAATATGACCAATTAAAGAATGAATCTGAATGAACCATATTCCTGAAAAAGCATCAGGCTCAGGCCTGACATCCCTACAAGTAGCACCCTCTTCCCCAAATGGCAGATAATTAAACAGGACAACAGCAGATTATCCACTTGCTCTTCCATGAAGTGCAACAGATCAGCCTGGGCTAGGAACACACAGCATTGTGCTCCTTCCCCTTGATGCTGTCTGCCTGCCCATCCGAGTAGCATTTTCTCCCTTGGTTTCATAAGCCTTAGAGATAAAACCAGACAGCTTATATTCATCTAATTGTGAAACAAATTCTTGGTATAAATTATTATCAGTTCTACTTATGGAAAAACAATATTGTAACACAGACTGCCTAACTGTGCTTAGGAAACATAAATACTTTAAAAAGGAGAGGAGATGCTCCAATGAAAGGCAGACAAGGGTTTTACAAAAGTTTAAATCCATTATATAATGCATGGGGAGAAATTTACTAGAGCACCTTACACGAAGAGCATGTCCAATCAAAGTTAAACTTCGCAGGAAGGGACCAAAACAGAATGGATACCTGGCAGGCAGGCTCTCAAGTGGCTGTCTGAATACAAATAAACACTGACGTTCCAACCCAAAGTGGAAAACACAGCATTAAACAGACAGTGTCTTGCTCTTGATCCCAAATACTCTTAAAGTTTAAATTCTAAATCTGGGACAAAAAGAAAAAAACATATTTTTTCTCGCATTGTGTGTGTGTACATATGTACACACATTTCCCAGTGACTCTTTTTTCCTGTCTAGCCAATCTGAGCAGATAAACATAAAAGTCTTTTATCATTCCTTCAGATTCAATATTTAGTTTAGGCTTCAAAAGACTGAGCATTATAGACTTTCTAAGCAGAACAGTCCTTCTAAAAGCAAGAAAAAGGCCATGATGAAGAATTAAAAATAGACAACAGCTACATTATTTCTATAGTACTGTTAAAAATTTATGTTTTTGAGTAGGTTATCTTACTCCCCTCTCTGAAGAAGAGCATTAAGGTAAATAGAAACCTTTGTAATTACATGAATGTATAAAGATATGGATATCAAAAGTTAACAAATTGAGGCCAATTTTTCCCCCTCAACTAAACCAAATGAACTGCCAAAGGGATTTCTGATTCTTGGCTCTGAGTATGTCTGTTACATGACTTCCATAATTTCCACTATCCTAGAACAGATGAATCAGGAAATGCAAAGCAAGGAGAAATAGTACACTACTTCTCAACAGCTTGCCACTGGGTATTTCAGAATACCAGAAGACCCTCTGAGCAGCTGCCTTAGATGACGGATATAACTCCGTCAGTCAGTAATATTTTAAAAGAGAATGGCTGAAACACAAATTTTCACTTCCTGGCTCAGGCTAAGAAGTAGAAAGGGAACTTGTCAGGTATTCTGGGGGTTACTTATTTTTATAAACAAACTAGAAAATGTAATTCATGGGCCAATTCCAGACAGAAAAGTAAAACACTCAAGATCACCTGATTCTGCTTGATCGTAGCCGAAGAAACTTAGCAGCTTGAGGAGCAGCCTCTCCTCGATCTGCACTGTGAATCTCTGTGCTGTGACCATCAGATGCTAGAGACAAAGAAATCCTGATTACAGTGTGGATGGAAGGAACCTTCATCTGAGACATTAAGAAGGCCCCAATGACATGACATGGTTTTTTATTCACGTAATTTTGTAATCATATTGCTAAATAATTTTGGCTTATTTTTCTGTGCATTATTACAAATAACCCAAAACTCCAAAAGGTGATTAGCAGATGATTCACCATCCTTTTGTTTAGTTCCCAGGGTATCTGGGTCTCCTAGCTGGAAATGCAGTTCCAGGTGCACTGTAGTGGGTAAACTTTATGGCACTGTGCTTAGATAGTGCAACCTAGTGTGAAATGCAGCATGAATAGGCTTGAGAAACTGAGAGCTACATGGAGGCTTGGTCCCATCAGCACTGGTGACAAGGACCAGAAATGTGAGAAGCAACTTTTTAGCAGGCTCTTGCTTCTCCAGAGTTTGCTGCTATAATAGCTACCCTATACACAGAGGTTTCTCCAAGAAAGAGCTCATCACTTTTGAACTACCTGCTTTAAATAAAAATGTGGGTAGTTTACACAGCAGGATGTCTGTCCCAGGCAGACCCCTCACAGACCTGTTTCAATATCTCTGGTTTATTCTATTTTTAGTAACAAATCTGGATCATGCCTGGTTCACACCAATCTAGAAGATGTTATGCTTTCGTACAGAAACTTTGCTCTTATGAATACAGACTCTGGCCCCTATGGATTCAAAACTATAAAACTTTGATCTGTAAGTTCACTAGAATCACAACTATAAATATACATTGGGTTGTCAGAAAAATCATGACTTTTTTTGTTTTTCTATATAAAAATACATCATGATTTTTCCAACAACCTAATAAAAATGCCAACAAAAGTTCCTATAAATTCCCTTAATCTACTAAATTGCATGTGGCTTAATTCTATAGAATGATTTCCAATACACCCTGCACTGTTGCTCTGAGACCTGGCTGTGAGAGAAAAATCAACCTCTGGCCTAGCACTGACCCCCCACCAGCCTCTCCCACCAGCCCACCTTGTAGATGTTGGTCAGTGCGCTCTTACTGGGAAACTTCACTGCATTGACTTGCACGGCAGGGCCAGTCTCGATGACCTCATTCTCATTGCTCAGGGGGGTCACATAGAGCATGAAAGGCTGAGTGGTGCCAATGAGCTGATTGTCCACCTAGGGCATGAAAAACAGAAAAACAAAAACAAAGTTGCTGGGTTTTCATGTCTACTTTTGAGGGGTGTTTCATAATACGCAGGTTACTTAAAATGTATTTTGTCATTTTATTCTTTCTCAGTCATCAGAAAAATACATTCTCGATGAAGACCAGTAATAATAACAGTAGTATAGGTTGAATAGCTCTTATCTGAAATACTTGGGGCCAGAAGTGTTTCAGATTTGGGATTTTTTTTCACAGATTCTGTAATAGTGGCATATACACAATGAGGTAGCTTGGAGATTGGACCCAACTCTAAACACAAAATCCATCTATGTCTCCTATACATCTTATTCAAAAAGCCCAAAGATATTTTTATATAATATTTTTATGCTTCAGTGCATAACCCACCCTTCTGAGGGCATGCTTGCTTGGGGGAATCTGGGTATGTGTGGAAAAGATACAACACAGCTAAATGAGGCTGGAAGAATCTATCCTCCCTTAGGGTGACTGAATAGAACGGTGTGTTATGCATATGCGTTTTGACTATGACCTGTCACTTGAGGTCACATGTGGAATTTTCCACTCGTGGCATTGTCTTGATACTCAAAAAATTTCAGGCATTGGAGCATTTCAGAGACTGGATTTTTCAAATTACAGATTTAATTTCAACCTGTAGTAATAACAGCAGGAGCTATGTTTTATTAGGTGAGGACTTTGCTGAGAAAGTAGATTTTAAGTTCTCACCACACACAAAAATGAGAAGTATGTGAGGTAAGGCACATATTCATTCATTAATTAAATTTAGCCACTTGCAACATCCATGTGTTTTAAAACAATGTTGTACATGATAAATATAAACAATTTGTAGCTGTCAACTTAAAAAGGTAATTAATGGAAAATAATGTTTTAAATTTAAAAACACTAGGTGAGTACTTTATGGAAAGCAATAAGCTAGTCCCCTTCTATACATCAAGTAACATGACACCCATGAAGTCAGGGTCATGCGTGATACAAAGGATTTTGCTGCAGTCTTCACTCCGATCTCATGAGCACTGACCACATCTTACAGACAGAGGAGCTGAGGAGAGAGGCCCTAGCTTAAGAGTCAGTCACAGAACAAGAGTCCTGTCTGACCTGAAGGCCAGAGCTCTTAACCACAATATGTTACTCTATATCTCTCTCACTCCAAATTCCTTGAAGATAATTAGAATTATACAACTAGTAGCTCCAATGGCTACCAAGCTGGCACAGTTCCCTGTTCTGAAGTCAGCTCTCTTCATGGGAAATAAACGATGCAGTCTGGCACTGGGGATCACCCTATTTATGCACCCAGCCCTGATCAGCACCACAGCAGGGGACACTCCCTACACTCAGGGGCTGTGGGTGCCAGAGGCCCACTGCAGCAAATGGTCATCACTTTGGTTCACCCCAAAGGTCCGAAGGACAAAGAAAGAGATCATCTGTTGGGTAGCCCAAAGGGTAGGTACTTTCCACAAACCACCTAATATAAATAACCCTTACCACAAACCCAAAGGCTAGGTATCATTCCTCCCATTTTTCAAACAAGTAAAGAGAAGCTTAGAGAAGTTAAATTACTTGCCAGCATTCACATAGCTAGCAAGTATCAATAGAAGAGTGGGATTCAAATGCAGACATTTCAAGAGCACCAATCCTTTGACCATTCTACTCTCACGTGCATTTCCGCAGAGCCATCTTGCAAGATTAGTGCTGACTTTCCTTCCTTCTGTTGGTTCTCAAAGTTCAGGGAGAAGCATGAGGACTCAGCACCTTTTCCTACTTTTATTCTTGCCCCTCTACAATGTACTTTCTAAAAAGCAGCAAGAAATCTTTTAAAACATAAATCAAGCCATACCTCTCCTTCCTGTATACCCTTCAGTGGCTTCCCTTTCAGGATTAAAACACACTTCTCACCATGGCCTCTAAGACCTGAGGGTACAGAGAACACCAAATTTCCCAATTCCATCACAGACCACTCTCCTCTAGGTTCGCTGTCATCAACAGAGGAGCCTCCCTATCACTTCTTCCTCAGAGTCTGAATCATCGTCCAACAGTTTCCTTAGTGACCTTCTCTATTGATTTGCTCATTCTCTTCCTCAAAGTTTCAGCCTAGCTGTCACTCCCTCAGGCCCCAGGCCACTTTCTCTAAAGTAGCACTGTCCTTCTTTATTCCTGCATAGCCATGATCACAGGATGAAATTTATTAGCTTGCTTATGTATTGGCTGATTTCCTCTCTAGGCCGTTAGCTCAAGGAAAGCAGGGACCACATACTTTTGTCATAGATGTTATCTTTAGAGCCTCATACAGTGCCAATACGGTCTATGCTAATTCAGTAAAAGTTTATTGAATGAATGAATCATTGCCGATTTCCACCAAAACATGAAATGACAATAAAGATCTCAACTATTCTACCTTCTTTTGTATATCTTCTCCAAGCACATCTAATACTGAGAATTACTAATTCTAGTTTTATTCTCTAATTTTATTCACTTAGATTTGATGCTCTCTAAGGATAGAATCTGTATTTTTTATTTTTTAAAAACTCTTACAGCACTGTAACCATAGTAAAAATCAGCCTATTTTCTACAATTTGGAGAACATATCAAATCAAGAAGTATAATATAGAATACAATAAAAAAAAAACTTTGAAAATTAAAGTAAAACATTAAGTAAACTAATGAACAGCAAATGACTCCTCACATCATCTCTGTAAAGTCAAAAAAGTGGGACAAGGAAAAAAAGCTGTAAGATACAAATGTTTACCTGTCCTCAAGCAAATGGGATATGACTGGCCTGAATTCGTTGCTACTTGTAATATAATAATAATAATAAAAGAAAAAAATTCTTCTGAAAAGAGGTTTGCCATAGATAATCTGGATGGAGCTGCAGAGGGAACAGGAGCCCCCAGTCATGGGGCACACCATAGCCTCCAGTGGGCCAAAATGCAGGTTCTCCACTTAGGGAACAGAACTACAGACTTGGGGCTTCCCATCCTTCTTTTGGAAAAGTTTACTAGGAACCAGTTTCCTGGATGTATTTCAATTTCATTGACGGTTAGAAAGGAGAAAGGTTCAAATAGGAGGCTACAAAGAGAAACCAGAGTTGACAGCATGAGAACAGAACTAAGCCAACAATGATCAAAATCAGCTTTTCTAGAGCTCTGAAAAGTCAGCAAAGACTCGCAAGAATCTAAGGAGCATTGACTCAAGAAAACAAACTGAAACTCGGTGAGAACAGCGAGCTCTGTTGCATTCTAACCTGTCCTAGTCCCATTATCCCCTTGCCAGCTAGACAGTAACCTTCAAAACCAACAGTGGCAGTGAAAACACACCTGGCAGCCATCAGTGGAGTCAAAGCAAATCTGACCTCCCTCAAGGTATCATTTGCTGAGAAATGTCAGTATTTGGCTTATCTGGCACCTCTCTCATTCCTGGTATTGATAATTTGCATTTTCTCTTTTTTCTCCTGATCAGACGGGTTAGAGGCTTACTGAGCTTACTGATTATCTTAAAAAATGAAACAACTTTTGATTTCACTGATTTTCTCTATAGTAGTTCTCATTTTAAAAAATCACTTCTGCTTATTTTTGTTTTGTTTTTCTTTAAGTTTCTTAAGATGATACCTGAGTTTTCACTGTTTTCAGACCTTTTTTAAAAAATGTTTTATTTTTACTTAAATTTATTTATTTACATTCATTCACTATATGTCATTACAGCAAACAAAATGAGATTTCCCATCCAGAATACACTGTATATTGGCTCAATCAAGCACATCAACATATGTGTTTATTGTCAACAGTTAATTTTCCATTTCTTGTTTCCTGTATATTTTGTCACTTTTGCCATCCTTGATTCCCTCTCTCTCACCCTCTGCCATGTCCCACCCTCCTCCTACACTGTTTCTGGTATCCATGGTTGCTTTCGATGCCTTTCCCCCCAATTTTAGTTATTCACTAATGAATTTAATTAATATAAATACTTCCAATAGCAAGCGCAGCTGATATATACATATCCATGAATACAAGTCTGACTTTGGGCATAAACCTCAGTGAGTAGAATGAACATACTATAAAGTAGTACCTAGCTGGGGCTATATAGCTTACTGCAATCATCAAATGTACATTTTTTTTTACTTTCAAGAAAAATAGTTTTTGTGTTTTTTCTGAAACTTTTTTCATTAATTAATTAATTTACATTATCCCCTAATCATCGTCACAGCATACAAAAAGTGGTCTTCCATCCAGAATATACTCCATAGTGGCTTAATCATGTATGTTATCATTAATAATTTTCCATTTATATATTTATTTATTTATTTATTTATATTTACCCCTATGTCTGGCCCTCTGCCCTTTCTCACTCTCTTTTCACACTATCTCTGGTGTCTACAGTTTCTTCCATTCCTTTCCCCTCACATTTTATTGATCACATAATTTCTTAAATAATCTAACTACTTTCAATAGCAAGTTCAGCTGGTAATTTCAAGAAAAGCAGTTTTGAATTGGTAAGGAAATTTGCTTAAAACTTAAAACCTGGAAACAGGTTAGTATTCTGTTCAAATAGTAGGTACATGAACCTATTGACAGCTCAAGACAGGACAAAAACTCTTAAAACTGGACAACAAAGCCTAGAAGAAAAGCAGCAATATTTTAGTCAAAAGTCACAGAATGCTATTTCACCAGTTTAGTCTCATACACTTTATCTTCTGTTGTGGTTTGATCTCCCCGATTGAATTCTAGGATATTCTCCACACTTGTCCCTACGATTAAGTTGGCCATTTTCTTAGTTTCTGAACTCTTATTTCTGTGTGACTACATTTAATTTTCCTGACATAGCACTCC